GGTTCGAGTCCCACCGCCGCACTAATGTACTTTGGCAAGACATTGATCTACATTTGCCACACTCCACCCAGGTGAAGTAAATGGGTACCTGTTAGGAATTTCTTCCTTGAAATGCTAGAGCGCCGTATGGCAGCCTTGCTAAAGCCAGGGTAATAATCGGGAGCGCCAGGAGGGTCATATCTGACTGACATGAGCGCTATACAAGAACCCATTATTATATTATTATAACATGAAACGAAGGTGTTAGGTGAAAGCCAGAAGGCAGCCTTCATCATTTCATGAAGCACTACCCCATGGAAAGGAGCCCAGGAGGTACCAACACCCTTGGTATCATGCGCACGAGGACGCACACCATCCGAGAGAACTTCAGGACCCGCCGTTTGAACCGCCTCAACAAACCATCTAGAGATAGATTCCTTCGAGGCAGATGAGACGGGCTCTCGCGTGATAAGAAACGGCTGAACGCTATCAAGGAAAACCAAAACCCCAGAAGGGAAAGGAGAAACCGATCCACCTACCGACTCCTCTCACGGAGTAGCAAGGGTAGTGGACGGTTGGAGTCTAGCCACCAACAAACGGGCAAAGACCCCCAAAAAGACTAACAACAGCACAGAGCTTCTCAGAAGCCGAGCTTAGCAAGACGGGTCCTGAAACAAAAAGGGAACTGGAAAACCAAAAAAGTGCAACTGATTCCAGTCAAGACACCCCTAGGGCAGGGGCACAGCCCCCACCAGCTCCTTGGGTGGCCTATGGACTTCACAGTTGAAGTCAAATTGGAAACTTGACATCCGAAAGCAAACGCTTCCTAACCTTACGCCGAAACGTTGGGTGATGAAGCCTGCTCAAAGGCCTTAAAGCTGGTAGGTTAAGCTACAGGACTAGCATGGTCATCACTACCACGCTACACCACACCTTAGGCTGAGAAGCTTGGTGCTAGAAGCCACCGTGTGACTGGGGGCTCTCTGTAACGGGGGCAACTCAACTGAGAACCCGAGGCATATCCGAAGAAAACCTAAAGACTACAGTCAAACCGATGGACTGGGGGCACCAACCCCCAAAGATGGGGTAGGGTGCCGATAGTAGCTGCCCCTGGCGGAGTACTAATAGCAGCAGGAGCTGGAGGCTTAACCCCAAACAAGGGCTGACGGCACATGATGGCAAGCCAACAGCAGCACTAGGCAATCCGGAGAAGCAACACCCGACAATCAAAAATCAAACCCAAACCCGAATCAGGTGTGACCAGGGCCGGCTCAAATGCCAGCCGAAGCACGAGCAAGGATAGAGGATCAAACCTCTGCCTGAAACCGTGGCGCCTGTCGGTCTACTGACAAGTTCAGGAGGCGAAACATTAACTCCCATAAACATGGTGACAACTTTGACGCCAAAGAACTCAGAGAATACATCTGAAACCAAGTACGGTGTGAACAGGTCTAGTTCAAAGCCAGCCAGGACACGGGCAGATATAGGCGCCAAGCCACCGCCTAAACGAGGTGATAAATTTGACCCCAAACTTTGGCGTCTGCCGGAACAACTGGTAGCCCGAGCGTAAAAAATTATAAAACCCCAAAACAAAGCCACCTGAGCGGATACAGAAACGGCTGACTGAACCGTTTGACACCAAACCCTGGCCGTCAGATTACCACTTTACCTCCTCAGCTTCATGGCTGGTGGGACCACTGAAAGACTAAGCGAGCGGGTAGCCTTAGTGCTCCACGGCGGTGAATGGAACCACCTCGCTTGAGAAACCGGGTCACTCCTGAACATAATGTTGGTTGTGAAACCATGGTCACCTCCGCGCCTGCGGCACAGATTGATGCAAACAACTACGCACAGTCTGCGAGGCCTGCGCCTCCGACAAAGCTGGCCTTTCCGGACAAGTCAGCACGGCTTGTAGCCATCTTTGTATTCACGGCGACAGCTCTATAAAAACTGAAAACCACTCATGGTGGATGGACATAGCCCGACACGGACTAGACCCGGTGGAACAGTAGCCATTTGTGAAAAAGTCCAGAAGCTCCGTCTGAGCAGTACCAGAAAAGGCTGACATTGGCGAAGATTTCTCCTTTGCCTTCTTAGCTCCTGTCCCAGCCGAAACTTGGTTGGACGAGCTGCTTATTAGGAGTCTCTATATTCAGTGTAATTGAATCTCTAGTCCACGGCGTACTGGCGCTGGGGCGCAGCCCGCTGGCTGGCCCGGATGCAGTACCGCCGGCAACTTACTACAGGGCAAAGCTCCAGTCACAGCAGGCAAAAAAAAACCCGGTGCGGGGAGCAAACTGTCTCGAGCATGTACTCAAGACGCCCTTACCAACCCCCATTGATAGTGAGGCGGTAACGACAGCCGTAACTGGGGGGAGAAAATTGAATCCCAAGCAACTCGTTTCTACGAGTAAGAAGCGGAGGGGCTCGAGGCCCTGTTCACATCGGCCGTAAAGTTAAGATTAGGCTCTAGTGCCGCCATGTAGCTCGCTTCGCCACCTGTATCTAGAGGTAAGAAGCAGAAGAGCTTGAAGCCCTGTTCACACTGCCCGTAATGCTAAAGTTTAAGCTCTAGTACAGCAGTGTAGCTCGCTTCGTCCCCCGTATCTAGGGGTAAGAAGCAGAAGAGCTCGTCCACCCGAGCTTCGGCTGGGTCTGGAAATAAGACGTGCTGTCAGGCGGGAAGATGACCCAGGTTTCACAACCGACTTTGTCGGGAGGGACCCTGTTTTCACTAGCGAGGTGCCTCTAATCACTGCTGTGAAGCGTTGTAGTGAGTCGGCGCGGGTCACACGGGCCGTGAAGCTTGCTTCATCCCCCGTATTTAGGGGGAGAGAAGCGGTGGAGCTCGTGGCCCCTGTTACATCGCCCGTAAGCTAGAGCTAAGGCTCTAGCAAGGCCGTGAGGTTTGTTTCGTCTCCCGTTTCTACAATTAAGAAGCAGAAGGGCTCGTCCACCCAAGTGATTCAATTACACCGAATACAGAGACTCCTAATAATCGGCTTTCCCCCGCAGGGGTTACTTAGCCTGTTAGAGGCCCTGGGCTTCAAGTCCCCTGGCTCTGTTGCGATACAACAGCCGTGCAAAGCACGAGCGTGCACTCAAGCACAAAGGTTGACCTGTTTGATGCACCCGATTCATTTCGGCAGTATTCCTGCTTCCACATTTGAGGTGCCTGAAATCACCCAAGTGGAACGCAAAGGTCAAGAGCTCGCTGAGGCTCCTCACGAAGCATTGAAACGAGCAGGCAGCAGTCACACTGCCGTAAGCCTAAGCTTATTTAGGCCATGAAGTTTGATTCGTCCCCCGTTTCTACGGGTAAGAAGCGGAAGGGCTTGTCCACCCAAGTTTCGGCTGGGACAGGAGCTAAGAGGGCAAAGGAGAAATCTTCGCCAATGTCAGCCTTTTCTGGTACCGCTCAGGCGGAGCTTCTGGGCTTTTTCACAAATGGCTACTGTTCCACCGGGTCCAGTCCATGTCGGGCTATGTTCATCCACCATGAGTGGTTTTCAGTTTATATAGGGCTGTCGCCGTGAATACAAAGACAGCTACAAGCCGTGCCGACTTGTCCGGAAAGGCTCACTTTGTAGGAGGCGCAGGCCTCGCAGACTGTGCGTAGTTGTTTGCAAAAATCTGTCAGGCGCGGAGGTGACCCTGGTTTCACAACCAACATTATGTTCGGGAGTGACCCAGTTTCTCAAGCGAGGTGGTTCCATTCACCGCCGTGGGGCACCAAGGCTACCCACTCGCTAAGTCTTTCGGTGAAGCGGTACTGCCCTGGTCCCACCAGCCATGAAGCTGAGGAGGTGAAGTGGTAATCTGACGGCCAGGGTTTGGTGTCAAACGGTTCAGTCAGCCGTTTCTGTATCCGCTCAGGTGGCTTTGTTTTGGGGCTTTATAATTTTTTACGCTCGGGCTACCAGTTGTTCCGGCAGACGCCAAAGTTTGGGGTCAAATTTATCACCTCGTTTGGGCGGTGGCTTGGCGCCTATCTCTGCCCGTGCCCCGGCTGGCTTTGAACCAGACCCGTTCACACCGTATACTTGGTTTCAGATGTATTCTCTGAGTTCTTTGGCGTCAAAGTTGTCACCATGTTTATGGGAGTTAATGTTTCGCCTCTTGAACTTGTCAGTAGACCGATAGGCGCCACGGTTTCAGGCGGAGGTTTGATCCTCTATCCTTCCTCGCGATAAGGATGGCATTTGAGCCAGCCCCGGTCACACCTGACTCGGGTTCGGGTTTGATTTTTCATTCTTGGGTGTTGCTTCTCCGGATTGCCTGGTGCTGCTGTTGGCTTGCCATCATGTGCCGTCAGCCCTTGTTTGGGGTTAAGCCTCCAGCTCCTGCTGCTATTAGTACTCCGCCAGGGGCAGCTACTATCGGCCCCCTACCCCATCTTTGGGAGTTGGTGCCCCCAGTCCGTCGGTTTGACTGTAGTCTTTAGGTTTTCTTCAGATATGCCTCGGGTTCTCAGTTGAGTTGCCCCCGTTATAGAGAGCCCCCGGTCACACGGTGGCTTCTAGCACCAAGCTTCTCAGCCTAAGGTGTGGTGTAGCGTGGTAGTGATGACCATGCTAGTCCTGTAGCTTAACCTACCAGCTTTAGTAAGGCCTTTGAGCAGGCTTCATCACCCAACGTTTCGGCGTAAGGGTAGGAAGCGTTTGCTTTCGGATGTCAAGTTTCCGATTGTGACTTCAACTGTGAAGTCCATAGGCCACCCAAGGAGCTGGTGGGGGCTGCCCTAGGGGTGTCTTGACTGGAATCAGTTGCACTTTTTTGGTGTTCCAGTTCCCTTTTTGTTTCAGGACCCGTCTTGCTAAGCTCTGCTTCTGAGAAGCTCTGTGCTGTTGTTAGTCTTTTTGGGGGTCTTTGCCCGTTTGTTGGTGGCTAGACTCCCACCGTCCACTACCCTTGCTACTCCGTGAGAGGAGTCGGTAGGTGGATCGGTTTCTCTTTTCCCTTCTGGGGTTTTGGTTTTCCTTGATAGCGTTCAGACGTTTCTTATCACGCGAGAGCCCGTCTCATCTGCCTCGAAGGAATCTATCTCTAGATGGTTTGTTGAGGCGGTTCAAACGGCGGGTCCTGAAGTTCTCTCGGATGGTGTGCGTCCTCGTGCGCATGATACCAAGGGTGTTGGTACCTCCTGGGCTCCTTTCCATGGGGTAGTGCTTCATGAAATGATGAAGGCTGCCTTCTGGCTTTCACCTAACACCTTCGTTTCATGTTATAATAATATAATAATGGGTTCTTGTATAGCGCTCATGTCAGTCAGATATGACCCTCCTGGCGCTCCCGATTATTACCCTGGCTTTAGCAAGGCTGCCATACGGCGCTCTAGCATTTCAAGGAAGAAATTCCTACCAGGTACCCATTTACTTCACCTGGGTGGAGTGTGGCAAATGTAGATCAATGTCTTGCCAAAGTACATTAGTGCGGCGGCGGGACTCGAACCGTCTGAAGCTGGTTCTTGATCTTATGTCTTGGGTATTTGTTGATGGTAGTTAGGGCTGTGGTGACATGCTGGATTTCCTGGTCTAGATGGTCGGCATCGCTCAGTTGATGGGCTCGGCGGATGAGGGCGTTGGAGACCGATTGTAGTACGGATGGATGGTGAAAGGATCTGTAGTGAAGATATCTATCGGTGTGTGTGGGTTTCCTGTAGACTTGGTGAGCGGGTTTGCCGGATGACGATTTGGTAAAGAGGATGTCTAGGAAGGGGATGCTGTTGTTTTGCTTGGTCTCCATGGTGAATTTAATGCTCGGGTGATGCTGGTTGATGTGGGCGAGGAAGTGGTCCGAGTAACGTCCGCTATGTGGCCAACTGGCGAATGTGTCGTCGACATATCGGAGCCAGAGAGAAGGGCGTTGTGAGAGAGTCTGGAGTGCCGTTGTTTCGAAGTGCTCCATGAAGATGTTGGCTATAACCGGTGAAAGAGACGATCCCATGGCTGCACCTTGAAGTTGCTGGTAGTAATTGTCTCGCCATTTGAAGGAAGTTGAGTTGAGGCAGAAGTACATGAGGTCATGTTTTTCATCCAGTGTCAGGGGAGTTCTGTCGGAACATTGGTGAAGAGAGATGCAACATCGAAACTGGCAATGATGTCTTTATCGTGGTCTTGGAGAGAATGTTGATGAAATGCTTGGAGTTATTGATGTGGTGCTACGATTGTCCTATGAGTGGTTGGAGAATCGAGGTCAGGTGTTTGGCTGTGTCATAGCAAGGCGATCCTTGGGTTGAAATGATGGGGCAAAGTGGAATGGTAGGTTTGTGTATCTTCAGCTGGCCAAACAGGATGGGGCAGGTAGCTGAAGATGAGTGAAGTTTGAAGTAGAGTGGCTTGGATACGACTTCTGTTCTGTGAAGAGAGAGGAGTCCCTGGTTAAGTTTCCTTTCTGTTGCTAGTGCGTAGATCTTTGATAGCGGCTTGTTCTGGTTTGCTAATGTTGGGTTGTGGTGGCTTAGCTGTGGATAGGGATTGGGTGACTTGGAAACAGATTTTTTTTCAGCTGCGGTTCGGCTCAGGAATCTCAGTTTGGGTTCTACTTGTTGGATGACTTCTGAGAACGGGATCTTCTTGGGTGACACAGCGAAGTTGAGACCTAATAATACGACTTTGTGTTTGGTTTCCATGAGTGGATGGTTGCTGAGGTTGATAACGGTGTCCTTGGTGCCCGTTGATGTTGTCTGGTTGGTTGATTTCTGGCTGTTGGCTAGAAGTTTGTTGAATTTGACGATCTGCTTCTGTCGGGGTTGACTGGAAAGTTTTCCCAGCTGTAGAGGTGTTGAAGGCCTAGTATTTCCGAAGATCAGCCAGTTCCAGTCGAAGTTTAGATGTTAGAAGTTTACTTCTGATGTTTGGATGTCTTGCTCCATGGTATGGAGTTGATGGCGGTGTTGGAGATCCCCTCTCTGACAAGGGCTTGTCCTGCCTTGTGTATGATCAGTTTTGCCCGTCGAGTGCTGATTGAAGATTTGAGTAGTAGTCCGGTTGGGGTGATGCTTGAGTCACGGCAATGCTTGAGGAAGGTTAGGTAATTCTGGAGTTTGGCCTTTTTAACGTAGTTACGCTGCAGTTGCCGGGATGATACTTGGGTCGGCTCCCCGTAGAGCTGGGTTAGATGCTGCTTGTAAGTGATGTAGATATACAGTAGGCTTGCAGGTGCACCATGTGAGAGAGAGGGAGGATTGAGCAGTCCTGAAAAGGACTCTCGGTAATCTTTCTTGAGGGTGTGTAGTCCTAAAAAGAACTGTTGGTGTAGTCTTGAAAAATACTGTTGGTTATCTTGCTTAGCTTATAGTTCTAAGGGGAGTTATAGCGGTTGGAGAGGATGGGTGGTGGGAGTCGTTTCAAACAGGTCGACTATCCGTCATCAGGAGTGGAGAATAGCTGGCATGTCTGAGCTTAAGTCACCAGGGTGCGGACGTGGGAGAAATATACATGACCGTCATCGGGGAGGGGACATGGGTGGTCTGCTTATCCGTCTGCTTGTCCTTCGGGGCTGGAGTCTCCGGGGTGCGGACTTAGGGGAGTTTAGATTCCATGAGTGGGGTGTGCTGTCGGCGAGACGCTGTGTGTGTCCCACACTTTCGCATATATAATTAGGTATTTTCGCATATTTAAAGAGCTTTGACCTACATACTCCAAAGTTGAACTTAGGCTGTATTTTGATACCATGTACCTTCATATCAAATTCATTCAAATCCGCCAAACATTATTAAAATTATTGAACAGACACCAAATTTTCGAATAATTAGCTTTTCCCCCCGCATAATAAATGAGCTATGACCAGACCTCAAATCAATTTTTTGTCCACGGGGGCTCTTCCAAAAAAAAGAGCTCCTGTGAGTCTTCTCACGGGGGCCTTCTCCACTGAATTGGTACCCATGATACTCTTTGCTATTTCATCATTATCAGGGGCAGATCTAGCTTTTTGCTAAGGGGGGGTTGACCCAATGACGCTGCGGAGGATCGTCCATAAAGCGGCGCGGCGATTTTTGTTGTTTCTATTTTGAACCTCGGTATTAAAGTGATCTTTCCCTGGCATATACTAACTCAATAGGGATCATAAAGAGCAGCAGTGCATGATAATGTCTTTTTAAATCAAGTAACAGTTTTAAGGGGGGGTGGGTTGATCCAATGACGATGCGGATACTGTCTGGGTCTGGACACATGATGGCGTTTTTCCATGCACATCACATTTTCACTTGCGACCCAAGGGGGGGGGAGGTGTACCCCCCCCCCCCAGATCCGCCACTTATTAACATTTATTTAAGTCAGCATTTCCCTTTTACAACTTTACAAGTTAAATAGGGGTTACTGTCGACTTTCATCCCGAGATGACATTCTCTCCGTTTCGTCCTTTTCTGCACATTCCCCCTTATTGGCCTTATCATTTAAAGCAACCTTATTACATTTTTTCTTTAGCCTTTACTTTATCCTTACACAACATCTTTGGTCTTCCTCTCCTTCTCAATATTGATTTACTGGTCGAAGTTCATTATTAGCTGGACTTTTGGAATCACCAGATTTCAGAGGATTCACGCTTTTCACAACGAAAAACTTCTCCCTGTTTCGGTCCTTGCGCGATCGCCTCTAGCTCCAGCAGATATGTGGCGGCAGCGAGCACACCTGCCGGTACTACCGCAGTGCGGTATAGCCGCTGCTGATGGTCGCACTGTACTGCGAGCTTCTGTTTTTTGTACCGGTAATACAGTCATAGAGAATCTGACGTGGAGATGGGAAATATAGCGCCCTCTTGCGGTGAATAAGCTCACATTTGTTCACAACATGGCGGCCTCTTGACACCGAAAAAATATGAGCAAGAAATCTGGCACGCTAATCTAACTTCCATTTTATTGGTTGAAGGTTTATAAATACATATCAAGTTGAAACTCAATATTGTGTGAAAGTTATAACAGAAAAGATAATCTTTATTCTATAATACCACGGGGCGATTTTTAATTTTGCAATCGCCCCCGTGAGCACTCTGACGGAGGTGATTATGTAGCTCACAGGGGCGAATCGCCCATCACCCCTGTGTAATTTGAGCGCTGGCTATGACCTTTGACCTACTTACTCTGTATTTTGATACCATGTACCTTCATATCAAGTTTCATTGAAATCCGTTGAATATCACTAAAGTTATAGAGCGGAAACCAGATTTGGGTATTTTGCATATTTAATAAGCTATAACCTTTGACCTTTGATCTACATACTTTGAAATCAAGCTTAGGCTGTATTTTGATACCATGTACATTCATATCAAGTTTCATTGAAATCCGTTGAATATCACTAAAGTTATAGAGCGGAAACCAGATTTGGGTATTTTGCATATTTAATAAGCTATAACCTTTGACCTTTGATCTACATACTTTGAAATCAAACTTAGGCTGTATTTTGATACCATGTACATTCATATCAATTTTCATTGAAATCCATCAAATACAATTAAAAGTTATAGAGCGGAAACCAGATTTGGGTATTTTGCATATTTAATAAGCTATAACCTTTAACCCTTGATCTACATACTTTGAAATCAAATTTAGGCTGTATTTTGATACCATGAACCTTCATAACAGATTTCATTAAAATCCGCCAAACATTACTAAAGTCATTGAACGGAAATCAGATTTGTTACAAACGGACGGACAGCAGAGTTATTAGATCCCCTCCGAATTTTGTCAGCGAGGGGATGATAAAAGACTAAAATATACATGTAAGAGAAAGTAAAAAAGAGAAAAGGGGAGACAGATACAAGAAAAAAGAAAAGTAAAGACATTAACAAAAATACAAACAAATAGAAAGAGGAAAGATAGGTAGAAAAATAAAAGGAACTGCTTGTTTTCTTTTCAAAATTACAACCCTTTGCGATCTCCTCACAACCTTCTCAATCTCGATCACCCTTTCTTTCCTTTCCTTTTCTACTTCCATATGACCTAATTCTTGGTGTACAAACTACATAGTGTTACCGAAAGCCTTGAATTGTGAATGAAATACGATATTCCCCTATGGAAAGAAAGATTCAATACTCTTAGAAGATTTAAAGAGCTATTAGGAGAATTCTACAATATCGAGAACCATCCCTGCAGCAATGGAGAGAAGGGTAAATCAAAGAGAGCATTGGACAGGATAAACAGCTGCTAAACAATACTGAGAGTGATTAGGTATGACAAATTTGAAGTAGGGCCTACTGTAATAAAACATTAATTTGTATTAGTGGAGACTTGAGAAGAAAAGCAGAAAAAACTATACATTACATATTTTAAAGACATGTAGTAAAAGGAGTCCTATCCTACTAAAAGAAAAATCAAAACATCCCACAATAAAAGCAATTATATATGTTAAGATACAAACTGGAAAGATAAGAGAAGGAAAAAAATTGTACATTTCACAGAGAGTCTAACAAATCCTATTAGAGAACACACATGCGATTTACAGGGGCCGTATACCTGAAAATAGTGAACACAATGATTTTTTTTGTCTGATATAATGCTTAGTATGTCCTCTGGTAAATATGAATAATAAACTAAATTAATACAAAAATACCAGCCATTTTCAACTTCAAATGGACAACTCATTTGACCCCAGCCACATAAAGGTGTGAGGTGACTTAGATTTTTTTCTTCATATGTGATTTTGTGGTTCTTCTTTGAATTGGTAACATAAACATGTCAGGAATATGCACTCCTTTAAAAGATAGAATTGAGAATAATCCATGACAAATAGAGAAACAAAAGGGGATTTGCTTTATATGAGTAGAACCTATATATGCATAACATGGATATAATGTATACGAAAATAGGATTGAATAAAAGAAATTGCAAATGGGAGAAGATGAGATTTGAGTTGTTTCTTTTAAGGGACTGTAAAACTTTACCAAGAAATTTATGATCACTGATGCTTATAAACGATTATAGTGGTTCACTGGTTTCCCTTGTAACTCATCTCGACTTTGAACAGAACACACATACACTTTTAAACTTCATTTCTAAACCTTTTTTAATAAAAAGAATGTATACTATTCAATGTAATTATTTGTCCATTTTATTTTATTTTTCATTTTACTTCTCTTTTTAAATTTGATATTTTTTTAATTGTATTTCATCATTAGTTTGCAACCATTTTTGTAAGTTCATCATTAATTGTTGGCATCTTCTTTTCTTATTCTTTTGTGCATTCCACATGAAAGAATATTCATTCTGTCTACAAGTACCTTATCAGTACACATCCTATAATAGGCCAGTTTGTAATTGCAGTTTGAAAATTTGGTTTTAAAAAATGTGCAAACTGAGAAAAATACTGGTAACATGTTCAAACATTCATTTTATTTTATGCACCAGTATGATATTTCATAATACACAGGTAAAGTTTTGCATCTCTAAATGGAGATAAATGGCATTCATGTGACCCCTCCAGTTCTAGAATCCCAATTAGGCCTCTCCATGTTCAGATATAAATTTAGTGGATATTTGGTGCTAATTACAAACTGGGTAATTGGACAGCTCCTGCCAAGTCTAGCTCTTACAAGATACCCAACGAAATATCAGTACAACTGCTTTTACGAGATGGATGATTGCAAAACCCATAACTAAACTTACAAAAAAAAAGACAACTTCTGAACCCTTATAACAATATAACGTATATAGATTTTCGGCCGAATATTCACAAGTTCTCAATGTAGTAACCAACATGTCAAACCTAAGAGGTATACATGACTTCTACTAGGAGGTATTGGGTAAACTGATCTGGTGAGTAGGAATAAATTATCACAAGGTAGACATTGAAATACCTGCATACTTACGACGTGTGTGCGCGTCCCACGGTGAGGCCTGATCTGTGGAATAAAGAGGTTTAAAAAATGTTGTATTAGGCATCGCAACGGAAATATGATGGGCAGATAAAATCGTAAAAATAAAATAACACAAATTAAACAATTTTTTTATGTAAAGATTATACCAAGTTTATACATTCATTTCAAAATAGATTTATTTCTGAGTATGTCGACAAAATATTATGTTTTTCACCTTTCAGCCCTACATTTTACTGCATATCAAATTTTCGACGTAGAAGATACATAGAAATGGTATACACTCCAAAATGATGACAGGCGCGTACACAGGGGGGGGGGGGGGGGGTTGGGGGGGTTAAACCCCCCCCCCTCATTGGTATTTTTATGTGTGTAAATCCCCCCATCACCCCCACTTAACCCCTCCCCCCCCCCCCCTTTGGATTTTTTTTTTTTTTTTTTTTATTAAAAAAAAAAAAAAAAAAAAATTCCCATGGCTGACCTAAAAAGTGACCTTACCCCCCCCCCCCAACGGAGCCAAATGTCAAATTTTCAAATTTCGAGACCCTCCCCCGAAAAAGAGTGTCCTCTTACCCTCCCCCCCCCCCCTCGATTATTCAGCGGCTGGCTGAGTCGTTGCGAAATTTTCGGCCCGATTTATAAATGTTAAAACCCCCCCCCCTTGAAAAAATCCTGCGTCCGCGCCTGGATGAGGACATGTGCAAACAAAAAACAAAGATGAAGACTCCCTATGTTTTGGCATGTACTGCTATAATGCTATTAAAAACTAATACTATTTCAAACATATGAAGCCAAAATAATGATCAGTAGACATACCTTCTTGGAAATATCTACAGGCGGTCAAAGAAAGGGAATGGCCTCCGGCGTCTACCTCGACTGACCACACCCAGTCTTTCTTGACCACGATAGTGCAGCGGGTCTGGTTTTGAGTGACCATGCACTACCCGTCTCGGCTTCCTCCCTACTACTCCTATAGCAAGGCGTTTACGTCCCGAGAACCTCAGCAGTGTTCGACCCAGTATCCCCCCTCGGTCTCCCCCCTGCTGCTTCTGCGAATCAGTCTGTAGGAAAGGAGAATGAAGTGAGTTTACAAAATCATTCATACTAAAAGGGGAAGGTCCACCCTTGTATTAAGTTGAATGTAATAAAAGCATGAAAATAAAAATATGAAAGTTACAAATTTTAAACCTGTCATCAGTGAAACATATGTGACATCATGTGAGCTCATCTCCAATTTGCTCTGTAGGATACAGACAATTTCATAAATTTTAATTTTCTTATATATTGATGACGGAATAGATACGTATCATACAGGGGTTGCTTAAAACCATACTTGCAATGATAATACTAAGGGTGTTATTGATTGAAACATAAATTGATTGCACCTTTAAAAATTCATCACTTAATATCATGGTGGGCTTCCCCTTTAATTTCATTATGAGCAAGATGGTTCTGTTTCAAACTTTTTAAAAATAAATTTTAAAAAATTATGTTTTCAGATAAATTAATTTTGAAAACCCCTATATCATTGTGACAAATAACGGTCAGACTATTTAGAAACCTTGGAGGATCTCAGTTCATTTTGACTCGCCGATCATTAAAAGTTGCTGCTATGTTGTAAAGTTTTGGCACATTGTCAAGTCCTTAATTAAAAATTGTGTTTGGTACATATATATTTAGATTGCTCATCTGTTTAGTTATTTTTTGTTATGGGGGTGGGAATTGTTAGAATACTAAAAATAGGAAAGCATAGAAATAAATTAACTTACCCAGGCTATTATCACACATTGCCTCGCCTCGCGGCAATCCGGGCCGACCTCCGCAGGTTCTGGTTTGCCCGATTGGCGGCACGACGTTGCTCTCTCTCAGCGGCGAGTTGAACAGCGGCGGCAGCTGCGATCTCTCGCTCTACCAGACGCGGTGACCTTCGTCTCGGGTGGAGTTGCTCACGCTCCTCCGCCCTCCTACGCTGTTCATCCTGCTGTTGGCGATTAGCAGGAACGACCTCCGCACGACCGTTCTCGCGATGCAACTTGTTGACTGTATAAACCAAACGAAAACATAAATGGGGACATGCTACATGCATGGCATTTCACAGATCACATTCAAATAGATGATTCTCCATTAATACTTTAGTATACCCCCTGTAAATGCACCAACGTACACAATCAATGATACAGCTGTAGGGTTGGACGGACCGCGTTTGTGTTCCCAAAATCTCTGGTAAAGGGGTAGGCTACTTTTCACGCAACAAATTAAGTAAGGCCTGTACATACACAAAAATCCGGCCCGTATTAATTGACTTTACACACCCTGGAGATAGGTGGTGCTTTCAAAGGGAGGGAACGTGCATATATACGCCTATCCTAAATAACACTGAGAGGAGGGGGAGGGGGTGGGGGAGGGGGTGGGGGAGGGGGTGGGGGAGGGGGAGGCGGGGGACAGTGTAATTAGTTTCAAAATATTTTCATCATGAATCAATATTTACTCTTCCATTTTTACTATTTTTACCAATGGCAATGCGGCCCTCCCCTGGAAAATTCGGGATCTGCTAATGGTCTGGGCAAATACATATATATAGTCTATGGTCCACAAGATGCCATTTTAAAATGTAAGTTAATTGTGAGAGATTTACTTTGAATAAATGCATACCGTGTTGCGTGCAGTAGAGTTCAACGGCGTTTTCGTCTAGCGAGTGACGTCCACGCCGGCTGCAACGTCGACCATTCCCATGAAGCCCGATATGTGCAGAGCACAGCTGGACCTCGGCTGGCTGTCTGTAAAAAAGTAAAAATAAAACAGGACATAGACTATTACTACTAGTCTACAACTAGATTGCCAATAATAGAATGCGAATATTAAGTGCATATGTTGCAATTTAAACACATTCGATAGAGTTATTACAAAGAATGACCCTAAATTAAATCACTTTCAACTCATGCACTGAAGGGTCGATCCTGCGTGTATTAAGCAATTGATGGTTGGTAAATTCATTTTTAATGTAGTGATATGAATACAGGTGTTGTACACATATGCAAATATGCACATAGGGTCTACATGTTTCCACTGCTTTCTTGAGTGTGTGTATGCAAATATGCACATATCCACTGCACCTTGTGGAAGCCATGACCTAAACAATAGTAAACACTTCCATGAGCATGCATGGGCAATCAGGCTTGAATATATGAATAAATGTACATGGACAGTGTATGCAGGAAAGGGATGTTGGTATGTTAGGAGAGGGACACATGTTTTAGGGCTCTGAGAAAGGAGGTACGGATATAGGGAGAAGACTCCATGTTGGATTTTTAAGGTGTGTCCCTAGCTTGCAGGACCTAGACGATTCAGTTGATTGATATTGAGAGAGACAGAAAAGAGTTAAGTCTGAACCAATAAAGATGGAACCAAATGGAACCAAATTGAATCCTGCGTCCTTATTGCTTGGCTCGTTACATTAATTTAGAAAATAACTCTGTACATACTGTCGGTGCTGCCAGCATTCTTCGACTTCATCAACAGGCAGGGGTGCCTTCCTCCTACAACGCCTACCCTCCTGGGTATTCATCACACAGTTCCCGGTGAACTTGTTGCCATAAAAGACCATTATTACACAAGTGAAATAACAGTGGTTTAAGCAAGCTAATCGAAGACGAACGAAGCAAAAGCTAAGTAAATATCTCAAAACGACTTGTCTAGGACAGAATCTAGCAGAGAATGGCAAATTTCTCGCTTCTCATCTAACACGAAACCTATTGTCATCGCGCGCGCGGTCTCTTTGAATGCATGTTAAATTGAAATACATCACGTGATTCGAGCAGACGAACGAATCACATTTAACATTTTCAGTGCATTCACTCATGCAAAGCATGGACCTATTACAGATGGACATTCATCGTTTTCTTAACGAACTCATTGTGATTGTCTCCGTCAATCGGGGGCGGATCAAGGCAGCCCCCGGCAGGGGAGGGGTCCAATTCGTGAGAAAATATTTAGAGGCGAAAATTTGAAATTCGATCAGTTTGGGGGGGGGGGGGGGGGGGCAGTGAGCACTAATTTTTATTTTTGGCCCTCGAAAATCGCACCCCCCCCCACCCTCGAGCGTGCAGGGGGGGGGGGGGATCTCCAAAAAAAGGTAAAATGAACGTGTTTCTACATGTTTTTTGTAAATCCAGGGGCCCCGGCCCCCCTGGATCCGCCACTGTTAATCAACTATACAATGATGAAATGATACTATGATTACCATAGTCTCTTTGGTTTCGGAGAGGGCAGTAGTTTTTTGACATATTTAGTTCCATCAAAAGTCTACGGGTTATTTTCTCCCAACCATTTACTATATGAAGTTAAAAAATAGGTTGGGTAGATCAAGGGCCGGGCGCCAGGTTATTTTGTTATGGGGCGAATGGGCGCGCGCCACTCAGAGTGGTGTCTGAGGGGAAGGTACTGGGTAGGGTTGTAGTTGATGAAGGATGGTAGTAGAGGTAGGATAGAAGAAAGGGTAGGGTAGTGGTAGGCGTAGGATGGAAGAATGGGTAGGGTTGTAGTTATAACGAAGGATGGTAGTAGAGGTAGGATAGAAGAAAGGGTAGGGTGGTGGTAGGCGTAGGATGGTAGTAGAGGAAGGATTAAAGAATGGATAGGGTGGTGGTAGGCGTAGGGTGGAAGAATGGGTAGGTTTGTAGTTGACGAAGGATGGTAGTAGAGGTAGGATAGAAAAAAGAGTAGGGTGGTGGTAGGCGTAGGATGGTAGTAGAGGAAGGATTAAAGAATGGATAGGGTGGTGGTAGGCGTAGGGTGGAAGAATGGGTAGGTTTGTAGTTGACGAAGGATGGTAGTAGATGTAGGATAGAAAAAAGAGTAGGGTGGTGGTAGGCGTAGGATGGTAGTAGAGGTAAGATTGAAGAATGGGTAGGGAGGGGGTAGGGTTGGGTAGACGTAGGATGGGTCGGGGTACACGTAGGATGGAAGAATGGGTAGGGTTGTAGTTGATGAAGGATGGAAGTAGAGGTAGGATAGAAGAAAGGGTAGGGTGGTGGTAGGCGTAGGGTGGAAGAATGGGTAGGTTTGTAGTTGACGAAGGATGGTAGTAGATGTAGGATAGAAAAAAGAGTAGGGTGGTGGTAGGCGTAGGATGGTAGTAGAGGTAAGATTGAAGAATGGGTAGGGAGGGGGTAGGGTTGGGTAGACGTAGGATGGGTCGGGGTACACGTAGGATGGAAGAATGGGTAGGGTTGTAGTTGATGAAGGATGGAAGTAGAGGTAGGATAGAAGAAAGGGTAGGGGGTGGTAGGCGTAGGATGGAAGAATGGGTAGGGTTGTAGTTGACGAAGGATGGTAGTAGAGGTAGGATAGAAGAAAGGGTAGGTTGGGGGTAGACGTAGGATGGAAGAAAGGGTAGGGTTGTAGTTGACGAAGGATGGTAGTAGAGGTAGGATAGACGAAGGGTAGGGTGGTGGTAGGCGTAGGATGGAAGTAGAGGTAGGATTGAAGAAAGGGTTGGGTGGTGGTAGGCGTAGGATGGTAGAGGTAGGATTGAAGAATGGGTAGGGTGGTGGTAGGCGTAGGACGGTAGAGGAAGGACTAACGAATGGGTAGGGTGGTGGTAGGCGTTGGATGGAAGAATGGTTGGGTTGTAGTTGATGAAGGATGGTAGTAGAGGTAGGATAGAAGAAAGGATAGAAGAAAGGGTAGGGTGCGCGGGATAGAGGTAGGGAGGGTGTAGGGGTAGGATGGTAGTAGGGGGAGGATAGTGTTAGAGGGAAGAAAGTGGTAGAGGTAGGATTTTCATGATCGTATAGAATGTATATTGAGTGAAAGAACGAGATAGGTGGTGTTAGTAGACGTAGGTTGGGGGTAGACGTAGGATGGAAGAAAGGGTAGGGTTGTAGTTGACGAAGGATGGTAGTAGAGGTAGGATAGAAGAAAGGGTAGGGTGGTGGTAGGAGTAGGATGGTAGTAGAGGTAGGATTAAAGAATGGGTAGGGTGGTAGTAGGGAAAGGATGGTAGTAGAGGCTAGGATACTGTTAGATTGAGGATAGTCGTAGAGAAAGGGGGGGGGGGGGGGGGGGGTAAGAGGACACTTTTTTTTTTTTTTTTTGGTAGTCCAAAAAAAAATCGCAAAGACTCAGCCAACCGAAAAGTCGCTCAGTGGGGTGGGGGGGGGGGGGGGGGGGGGGGGAAGGCGGAGACTTTTTTTTTTTTTTTGGTCTCGAAATATGAAAATTTGACATTTTTTTCGTTGGGGGGGGGGGGTAAGGTCACTTTACGTTAGCCGTGGGCATAATTTTTTTTATTTTTTATTTTTTTTATTTAAAAAAACAAAAAAAAAAAAAAAAAACAAAAAAACTAAAGGGGGGTTTTAGTTTCTTTTAGGGGGGTTTACATACAAAAAAATACCAAAAGGGGGGGGGGTTTGAACCCCAACCCCCCCCCCCCCCCCCTGCGTACGCCCCTGTTCATGATCATATAGGAGGTAGATGAGTGTTAGCCAAGTAGGATGGTAGAAGAGGCAAGATGGAAGAACAGGAAGGGTGGTAGTAGACATAGGGAGGTAGAACGGGTAGGGTGGGGGTAGAGTGGGGTGGACGTAGGATGGTAGTAGAGGTTGGAAAAAATGGGTAGGGTGGTAGTAGCCGATGGATGGTAGTAGGCTTGAAGAACAGGTAGGGTTGGGGTAGGGGTAGGATGGGGGTAGACGTTAGAGTGGTATTAGACGTAGATTGAAAAATAGGTAGGATGGTAGAAACAGGATGGTTGTAGGTAGAATGATAGTTGAATTCGAAGTATGACTGTAGTGGGAAAAGGGTATGAGATGTAGGAAGGTAGCAGAAGAAGGACTAACGCATACACAGACACATACACACACTCATTATAAATATCTTTAAAATATTTGAAAAGCACATTTCATTGGAGAAAAAAAACATGACAGCAGAAAGTATATCAGAATTTCATTTTGTCTTTCAGCAGTACTTTATGTATTACATCACGAAAAACATCTTTATTTGTGAAATACATTTATATTTTTGTTGGTCTCATAAAATCAGTAATTCAATCATAAGAGTTGTACAATTTTTTACACTATTGCAATATGTCAGTTGAAAATAACATAATATTCTACTAATTATGCATATGTTACATTTGCATTTTCTGGAGTTTCAATGACATTGACATTGTTCACAAACAAAAAGAGTCGGTAATTAGTATATCTATATATATATATATATATGCTTCAATAAATCAGCTATGAGTATTGTATTGAAACACAAACAATGATATTACCCAGGGGCGTCAATCCTAAGGGTTGCAACTAATTTTAGAAGTGGCTGTCTATAGAACATAATAATGCAATGTTTTCCCCAATAATGGATTGACGCCCCTACCCACATCGATGTGACTGGAGATGTCATGAAGACATTTCTTGAATGTCTCCTCTTGCCATCAACCCTGTCATGTGGGTCCTATAGCACAGGACGTGCAGTTACCATGGTTACAGGTAGCAAGTAGATTTACCTTGATCATGCAATAGTACAGATATTGGATGAATGTTGGACAAAATGAACTTCATTATGCCCAATGGAAATAATCATCCTAGTACCAATTGGAAATTATCCTTAAGATTGTGGAACTCAAAATCTAATTTTTGTATCGTCAACCAACTAATTAGATAGGATGAGGATTTAACTATTGATGAAATTAGAAGGGGGTATATGATGGGGGAAATTCCTCATGTGATTCTTTGCCCCTCCCATATGAGTCAAAGGTGGTATATTTGGGATGAGGTACTTTATTGCCCCTCCCCTATAGTATAATAATGGGAGGAGCCCATCAATGTAGGAGCACTGCTTATATATGCCACTAGCTAGGCTCCTCCCTGTCACTGTATATATGCATTGGTATGCAGGGGAGGGACCCATTTGAAGATGGTGTCAGGCCTGGATGGTGTCCTGCGTTTCCCCTCCCCTTCTAGCTTACAACAGATAATGAGAGGAGCAATTGATTGAAGCGCCTCCCTATCTGTTGTGTTTAAGGATGGTTATATCAGGGAGGGGCACATTCTGACCGGCACATTTTGCCTTTTTTTTATCATCCATTGGCCCAGGCGTGGGGTATTCCCTACCACGGTCCTGTAATTCCTGTTGTTTAGCTCAACTAGGAGGGGCTCCATCCTCCCATCCTCACCCCCTTCAAAAAAATATTTATTATGACCAGACGCCCCAGCCCTCTAAGGGCAAAGGCACTATAGAGTTCCAAAAGAGAATCTCGGTAAAGCTTACTTGCCACCTGTAGTAAAAAAAAAAAATGATAAAAAAAGGGTGCAGGTATTTCAATACTAAACCATCCACTGTATGAAAACGATAAGGATATATGTCTATCCTAAAACCATAAAAAATACCAGTTCAGGGAAAAGGTGCAGAAGAACAGGCTACAAACTTGCCTGGCTACACAAAACTGGTATGTACTACAAAATGTATGTATCTTCATCGTTATGTAAAAAGCAGCAGTTTAAATGTCAAGTAAAGAGAGAGAGAGGGTATGCACTGACGTGACACAAACATAAGACAATGGGAGGAAACATACTATGAATTCCTCCTATTTCCCTCTCTCACATATTCTGCTAACATCTTATAATCAAACCTTGAACATAAAGGTATGTTGTTCTAGTGGAACATTGATTATCAATACAACAAACAATGTTGTATGGTAGGAAACTGTCTACCAATAAAGCTATACACTCTCCTATAAATATACAGTGGATGGCACTATACCAGTCAAACATTCTTTTAACCGTGTAACCATGTTTCCCATATAGAGACATCACAGATGTATCCTACCATCCACTGACCACCATTTTACGAGGCCATTTGAACATCTAAATAGTGTAAACATTTGTTTTCAGAAGGAAAAAAAAAGTCACATGAACAGTCACCTTGCCTAAGCTAGTACACATACAAGGGACATATCCCTGTATAAACAACAGTCACCTTGCCTAAGCTAGTACACATACAAGGGACATATCCCTGTATAAACAACAAGATGAAGCAGATAATACTGCTTAGCGGGAACATACACTTGTATGACATGGTTAAAAGAATAAATGCAATTTGTGGTATAGCTACACTTGTGACAGTTCCTAACTCACCAGTGGTACACACGTATGCATCCATGAATATGGTACATACATGTACACCAAACCAAGCTAACAAGCAAGCTTATGCCAGGCTTCAGGAGGACTACAGCCTCCACCCTCATCAACATGAGAGCTCCTGGATATGTGAACAGGAAATTATGGGGGTTCTACAATCAAATTATATTAGAGTATGGCCGTTACTAACAAATATATACCAGTTATTATATATGATATAAGAATTTCAAACATACTATGGTAAATTAGAAGTGTTGTTAACACAGTATCAGGTATTCCAATCATCCCTTCAATAACATAAACGCATGAATATATAAACAGCAAACTTGTGTTGCATTTAAATCATTTCACAATCAACAATTAACAACGATAAATCTCTTTTTCACAATAAATGAATCCATCTTTTTTTTAAATATCAAATCTATGTTATGATAAAAAGTAAAGCATGATAACTAGTATGATAACCAGTGCAGAACAGAATGTTTGATAACAACTACTCTAACTTGGTTCATAATATAAATTATCAAAATATCAATATTAATATTGATACTAAAGCAAACTTGTACAACATTTTGTGTGCAGGCAAAAAAAAAAAGGTCTCACAGAAATACTTGGAATGTATGATTTACAATTACCAATTGATAATTAAAAAAACAATGTCATGTTATATTTCTATATTTCTGAATTGTAACAGGGTATGAACATTTCCCACTTGCAAGGTACAAATAAACTTTAGATACCAGGAATACTAGGAATTAAAGCATGGCACAATGATGCACAACTTTCACGTCTGGAAATGAAAACAAATTTGCTGATGCAAAAAGAGTTTACTCACCCACGTCTGGGTTAATAAACCCTATTGCATATTCAGGATAAGTTTACATATGCACGTCTGTATGTGCAAACTTTACCAGCTGAACCAAAGTAATATTAAGAGCCATTTTGAAATTGCTTTTTGTGTTCAATTTAACAAACGGTTCTTTATCATGTATAATTCCATATTGTTGTGCAGAGACTGATAAGCAACACGTGACTCAGACTAAATTCCATCTTCAGTCCCGAGATGGAATTAATCTCAATTTTTTTTCTCTCTCTAAATTCCTCTTTCTGGAATTTTCTGCTTAAACAATGCAAGTGGGATGCCTAACAAAATAAACAATTTTTGTTTAAAGATCAAGCTTTAGATGCAAGACAAAAAATACAATTCAGATAATAAGCAAATTTGAACATTAATATACAAAATTAAACATTTTCATGTACTTTGCAAAGTCTTAAATAAAAATGAAAAACAATTCATGAATATATAATTTATTTCTAGACTTTTGTATTACTGCTTAAATAGTAATAAATACTGTTGAATGATATAATGGCACTGATACTAATTACCATACATTAAAAATATAATAATAATAACAATAATAATAATAATATAATAGAACTTGAAGAATAAATGGGAGACATAAGCCAGTTTGACTTTTCGTTTACCTTAAATTATCAAGATGATCATGAACAAAATATTGCACATACAAAACAATCACATTAATCTGGTTCAAATCATTTCATGATTTATTTACACTAATTCATGAATTAATTATTTCAAAACAGTTTATTAAACAATCAATGTCACAGCCATGTGGCTAAATTGCACAATCAAGGTCAGAGCAAGAGATTATCGTAAGATGTGGTGATTATGGCAGGAGTTGTCCTCTAATGTTATTAATAATACAAGGTGTATTGTTGACAAAATGGTACTTCTTTCAATAGGAATGTGCACGTTGCTCTATTTGATTACTGATTTTAAAGTCTTCCGTTTATCATTAATTTATTGAAGCGCTTTAGGCGATAATATATAAGATACATTTGTATGTATGTCATTGTAAAGGTTATACTGCATCAAATGTTGCCCAGATATATTGGATCAAGTAGCTATGAGCAATACATACCGTCCCAATATAAAGAAAATATGTACTAAATGAATAAAAATGTATAACATTCTCTGAGCAACTCTGAATTTGATAACTTATAGTTACATAGAAATAGAAGAAAAAAATCTTGGCAAGTCTTTGTTAAAAATGTTTCTGTTCTCAACATATTAGTTTGTTGAATTATGTCTTACATTGTACTACCCTTATATAATGTATTACTGTAATATGCATTGTATTGTATTGTATTATTGTATTATTGCAAATTATGTCCTGAAGTATGTTAAACTGTAACTTATATGTATTTTACTTTCTTTCCTGAATTACTTGCCCACAATTATACAACTTCCACACAACTGCGCCAGGAGAGTCATTTTTGACAGACATGGCGCATTATGAATGTCCACTATTATTATTATTATTATAATTGTGATAAAATCTTTAGGAAAGTATTAAATATAATATCTAGATTTAACAATCAAAGATTACAGTAAGAGAGGGGGAAGAGGAGGGGGGGGGGGGGGGGCTATTACTTAATCTGAAACCCATAATAGCAGTATATAAAGTGTATTATTTATATTAAGTGTAATTATAGTGTAATGGACAAAGAGAGAGGGAGAGAGAGAGAGAGAGAGAGAGAGAGAGAGAGAAGAGGGGCATCTCTTGATTTAAATATGATGTGTAATAAACATGAAAATCTTACATTCAAAAGTCTCAACTAGATAAAGATGGTTGTTCCTCTCAATATGTTGTACAGTGTTAAAAAAAGAAAAGAGTAGGTTAATTAAACCCTGTCTTAACTGGAAAATAAAGTCACGGCGACGTCCGGACGTTGTCCGGATGACATTTACCCCCTTCCAATTAAGACGCGTCAATCGGGGTAACGTCCGGACAATAAAGAGGTAAATCTCACCCTAGTCGAGCCAGGGTGATATCGAGGTGTCGTCCGGACAACGTCTGGACGACGTACTGATATACGGCCTATTAAGACGCTCGCGGAACTCTACCCGGGTAATTTACGTCATCACCGTGAAAAATAGCGCGCGCCAGCTGAATCGTGATAAGACAGGTGCGGTTGTTATGGTAACCTACCCAGGTGAGGTTTTTGACGATGGCTGATTAAGACGGTGTCCAAAAGCTCACCTGTGTTTTACGATCAGACCCCCCATTGTTTCTCATCCTCATATCGCTTGGGTGAGATGAAAAAAATTCTATTAAGACGGGGCTTAAGACAAAAATTGTACAATTAATAGAACATGAGAATAGAGCTTGCTGTGAATTTGCTGGAATGTACTATTAACAAAAAATATTCAAATGAGTAAATCAAGATTCCAAATCATGAAGACTAATGTAATATAATTAAAACATTAGACATTTTCTTATGTCTACTTCTTAATGTCTTAAATGGATAATGGGAATAATTTTTGACAATAAATGGGACATGGAATATCCACAAAAGTAAAGCAATTTCAGAAATAAGAACTACACAAGGTTATAGAGGGAGGTAATGGGGACACACTGTATTTCCTGAAATTCAATTTACATCTCCTGGGCTTTTCCACGTGTTGGTTATCAATAGATCATGTTTCTTACAGAACTGAACAAGTCGATCACCCCGTTCATTACGATGCCTAGCTAGTCCATATTGTCCAACAATCTTTCCATCCTTACCTTTTACGACTTTAGCATTCCAATCACCTATCACGATAACAATTTCTGTTGATTTACAATGCTTTAACATTTCATCTATTTGATCGTAATATTTTTCTACTTGTTCATCAATGTAATCACTGGTTGGGGCATACACTTGAATTACTGCTAGGTTAAACGGTTTAGCTTTTAGCTTCATTAACATCATTCTCTCATTTAATGTCCAATAACCTAGAATGTGTTTCTCATAATAGATTTCCTTTGAGTACACAGAGAAAATATACATACAGAATGAAACATTTTTTTACTGGTTAAGATTTATTGCAAGTGGAAGTGCGATTGCTTTTCATGCATACAAAATGTCTATTATCATTCCAAACTCGTTGCTCTTACAAACTCCATCTGCAGATGTTACATACAACTGTCTCTAGCATTAATGTGTACAATGTTGAATATCAATCTTTTCTAAGTACATGAACTTGCTTCAACTGTGTCATTTCATGAAGAAAATGAATCTACAGGAAAGCAGTTGGAGTTTCTTTGCTCTTTGACACACTTCTTTTATTGCTTTAAATGCACACATGAATTAAGTTTCAAAACAATTCATGACCTTTAAAACACTCAATATCTGGACATTCCATTTCATTTCAATACAGAAGACAAGATTTAGCTCACTATTAGCTTAAAAGGGTCGAATGATAAAAATAAGGTTAATTCAAAGTGTTACACAATCACATTTCCAGAGAATTTTTCATTAAAAAAAAAAATGTCTTAGTAATTTTTTTTAAAGTTACAAATTAATGATACAAATTTTATGAGGTATTTTCACAACAGTTCAGTATCCCTATATTTATATTCATAAAATATTACTTTTTTAATAAAATTTAATACAGAATGACCCGAAAATGACTTGCTATGTCATTCTGTAATAAAGCTATATGTGATGATGTTTGAGGATTGCTTTGCCCTACTGCTAAGAAAATATGTATACTGTTAAGCTTGTAAGTAAGCAACCAGGGGACAAATGGCTATAAGTCCTCTCTTCCATGGACTTGGTAATGAGGATTAAAATGATCTGGAAATGACATTCTGTAAACTTTGGAATTGACCATAATAATAATAATAATAATAATAATAATAATAATAAATTACATTTCTATAGCGCATTATAATGAACAGACAAAAACAGTACCACTTTCTAGTCTTCACTTGTATCTTACATACTATACAAATACCACATTGTAAATGCCATGTACAGTTTAGGAATAGAGTGTTAACATGAAGGAAAAAAATAATATCAGATATATCTGTTCAATACAAATAACGAATAGTTAGAGAGTCATATTTCAATGTGGCTGTTTCTGAAGTGGAGTATCAAACTAATGAGAGGAAAAAGAAATGGGGATCTGTTGGGTTATTTTACGCTGGATGTAAGGTGTTCCATGTTGCTATACTGCAATCAAAATATGAGCTTCAAATATTACCTCTATAACGAGATATTGCAAGCTAAAATACACTCTCAACTAGAAATATCGCAATCTGTATTGCCTTCAAGACAGTCCAAACACCCTCGGCTAGCTACCGCCTCGGGCGTGTTAGACTGTTCCAAAGGTACCTTGTTGGGTAATTATTACTAATGCCGTCACTGCTGTGTATTATTGGTATATTAATGTACTATACTATACAGTTAATCATGAAAGTATTGTGATCCTGTATTTTGAATTGATTGTGAAGCAGGAGAGATTTTCCAGTATTCAGATAACAAGTATTTACATGAACATCCATACACACATCTACAGTCTTGTGAACGAGAACGAAATAAATTAGCTAAAAATATGCAGCAAAATATGAACACTATTGCATCTACATGTATAATTCTATAGCATGATCAAATTGTGAAATTTTATTTGCATCTCAATAAGAATTACTTATTTTTCCATGTGACTTAATGAAAAGCTAGGACCAACTTTTTTGTTTTTTTTCAACAGCTAAAAAGTTATAAATATGTACAGTATGTAGAATACCGGTACATAAACACAAATATGAATACCATCAACATTTTTTTATATCAAAATCTTCTTCATGCTGCAAGTTACATACATGTACATACACTGATAGTTGTACATGAATATAGTTTGTTTATATAATGGGCAAGAATGGCTGGAAAATAAGATCTACGGATATCTATTTCTTAATATAAATCGTCACATCAAAGGAAAACAGGGCATTGTTTCATGAAATCTTCACAAGTACAAGTTCACTGACATCCCTTTGAAACAAGTCTTAAACTTAATACCTGCATCTCAATGGGATGTCGCTGAACTTGTACTTATGACGGTTTTGTGAAACCCTGACCTGATCTCCAATAAAGCGTCAATAATTTAGCCTTTGATGGAATTCTATATTGAAATGAATTTCACTTGTTCAATGTGTTTTACACATTGTACACGTCAGATTAATTCTTAGTATTTATATCAATTTCAGTTTTAAAACACCTACACTTCACCATTTTACATACATGTAAATACACCTAATTCATACATACTTAAACCTTTCTGCATATTAACAGAATGACATTTTTTGCATAATGATTGTACTGGGATATCTTAAATTTCAGAATGAAAGTATAAAAGCAGTTCATTAATCTTTGGTCAAGAATCTAATACTTGTGTATAACAGCTAACCACAGCTCATTAAAAAAAATTCACTACAATCAATAAATTATAATTACACTGTCACCATTAATAACAATTAAAAAAAAAAAAAAACCTACAATAATCACACAAAGATCATAAAACTATAGCAAAGTTCACAACTTTCTAGCATTCTTTCCTACAATTTTAGGGGGAAACAGTTTCTCTTCTTCCCTCAACTTAACAAATCATTTCTTTTCACAATGCTTCACTTTCCTCATCTAATAGAATCTTTCATGTTTTGTTACCATGGAAAAACAATAACAGCTACATGTAATACATACATGTATTTCAACCAACATTCAATGCATACTATATATTCAAGGTAATACATTTGTGCTTTATTCTATTACTTCATAATAGGAGGTAAACTATAAACAGGATCTTCCATTTTTCTCATCCTCTGCAACTTTTTTTCTCCTTCTTTTGCACTTATCTCTTTTACGTCGTTTTGTTTTGTCCGTTTTTCTTTGAGAGAGCTCCTTGCCGAACCTGCGGCCTCCATTCTATTACATCTCTCTTTTTGAGATTTCTGAGAAGATCTAGCGCTTTGAGTGTTATTAGGCAGATGGGTCTTTCTTGCACTGATTTGAGCATTATGCTCGTTCTGAGAGCTGTACTCAACATGAGAACTAAGTTTAGACTTTTGGTGCTCCTGTCTGTGCACTTCAGCATGTTTCCATTCATCCTCCTTACGATCCATCTTCCTGTGATGTTGGCGATGATGATGCTGCTGATGGTGTTCCCTCCTATGAACTTGTTGTTTTGTAACAAGCTGAGACTCTACATGTAATTTTGAACCCTTTTGATGAAGTACATGTGTTTGATGGTAATGATGTCCTCTTTGTGTCTCATGATGATGGGAGCGCTCATCCCGGCTGACCTGGAAGGCATCATCTTGCTCCTGCTTGTAGCGTTGATGATGCTTTGATGGAATACTCCCTCCTCTGTCCTTATCCTTCTCTTCCTTTTTCCTGAATGAGTCTTGAGTTCCAGGTCTATGTCTTCCAATGCTTTGATTCTGGAGGGACCGAGATGAATGCCTGTGCTTGGAGTGCAGACGTTCATCATCTCTATTACCCTCACAAGTAGTGGTGCATCTGGGGGAAGTTATATGTATTTCTTTCTCCTTCTGAAAAGATCACAGAAAGAAAAAAAATTCAAGTCAAACTCGGGTTCGGCAAAACCCATAATGACAACGTGATACACATATTGTACGTATGATATGAATGAATGTGTTGCTCACATATCTTACAAATGGACTCTTGGATAAACTGCACTTATATAAATAAATGAAATGAAACACTAACATAACAACAACAGTTACTTAAGGCCATTGAAGGCCTATATTTAATAACTGAAACAAAGATGAAACAGCATATTTAAATATCTATCTTTAATTCAGGCAGGGATTTCTTTTCCCCAAAAAGGTCAATGGCAGACATGCAGAAAAGCTGATTTCCTAAAGTGATTTTTGCATAATGTCCTAAAAATAGATTTTGACAATTTTGATATTTCATGTCACTTCATATTACTTATGAGTATTAAAGGGGAAATTCAAAGAAAATCACAAATATGTCAACTAATGTATCACTAGAAACTGGTAATCTAACAGATGGCCATAATACAAGGTTTAGGTCAACTCCATATCAGGCGATTTATAAAAATACAAATACAACCACCTCCATAGCAGCTGGGATATACGAGAGATTCGCCAGAAAAATAACGTTGTTTTAATGACGTCACAATATGGACATCCCATAAAGAATGAACATAATTGCAAAGCTATTATTTGTCAAATTATAATGAGTTTAGTGTATATAAATGTAATGGCATTTCAAACCATTCAAAAAGGGATATGACCCGATTCTGATAACTAAAATCTTTTGCTTGTCAATACACAGGATTGGGGTCAATTAACAATCAAAGAAACCAGACTTTCAAATTATAAAGCCCCCGGAATGATATTAAGGACGGCATTTGTTCCCTCTTGAAACACCAAACATACAGCGGTGTGTGCAGCTGAATATACAATGGCGTCTTCTTTTGTTTACAAGCGACAGATTCCTTTATTTTTGCATCGCTGCATTTGTCATCAAAATAAAACCATGCACGGGTTTAGAGTGAGGCAATAGATTATACATTTAGCCTGATGGTAGTGAAGTAAGAGAAACAACTCAAGAGAAGATGAAAACACAGGCTTGTGGAAATCATGTCTATACTGTGATCTCACACATCTCATGCAGGGGCTGTATTTAAGCATTTTGTTATTTATAATAGTCATTACTTTGAATGTTTCCAAGCATTGAATTTTGATAAACTTGTCGAATCAAAGTTTCAACTTTACAATAATGAAAATAAAGTTAATTTTTAAAATCAATGAATATCTACTTTAAGGAGTAGATAATGAATCACAATGAATCAATAACCCATAAAAGTGCTCTCATGGAAAGTGTGAAATAAGAAATTTCAGTCATTTTTCAATACCAATAAAGGCTAGTTCAGATATGACGCAGTGAACCTGTGCAAAAAGTCAGTTTTTTTATGTGTATGAATTGCACTGCAGGCAACATAGGACTTGCATGTATTCACTGAGCTCTGTGTTATAAGATACAGAAATGTGAAGTCTACTTCACTCTATGTTATCATAAAAAAAAACAATGCGGTATTGCCTCCTCATATCTGAATGAGCCCAGTGAAAAAAATACACGGGGCTTGGGGCAAATTAGCACCTGAAATGCTAAAAAGAGCCCCCGAAAGTCATAAAAGAGCCCAAACAAATTTGCATACAGTTCAATGCAAAACAATTTAAAAAGTGTTATTTTCATGCAAGCAAGCTTGAAAAGTAGCCCCCGAAATTATTAAAGTATTTTTTTCCCTAAACGAGCCTCGACATAGGCCAAATATGGCAAGAAGATGAGAAAGTGTCTCTGCTTGTGATGGCTGCTTGTGATGGCTGCTTGTGATGGCTACTTACCCTTAGTGAGCGTCTTATATCATCTTGGGTACATGATGCACCACGTGATATCAGTCTGGAGTCCACACATGGCTGGCTCGTCTCAATCTTCCTCTTTTCTGCAATAAATAAGCATTTCTCTTTCTTAAGTCCACACGCATGGGAACATAGGCGGAGATCTGTAATTGATATCTATTGTTCATGGGAGGATGATCTATTCATTCCCCCTCCCCCCTGAAAAATAGGTATTAAGTAAGGATCTACACGCCCGCATGGACTTGTTGTTTTTCAATTTATAACAAAGTTTGTGTAACTGTGTCTGTAAAATATCAACTTTCACCAGACAGAATTTAAAAAAAATCAAAATGATCAAAAGTATATGAATCATGAAGTGTTGGTTAAGGTCATTGCTTTACGGAATTTCTTGTGCATGAATTTGGTCAAGACCAAATCAATACCAGTAATCAGTTCTTCTATTGGCAGTGAAAACAATACAAGGAATACATCTTTCAAGCCTGATAAATCTGTTTTCCCCTTTGTCCTCTTAATAAATGAAATAGTCTATTGCAGGATACTAAAAATTATTGAGAAAACATCCAGTAAATCCCTTCTACCTTTGGCAAGGACAAGGGGGATGACATATGTTGAGGGTGTTTAATTACCTCTTTTTGAAACAAGTTCTAGATCCTGTCTCTACTTGGAGCTAATCTAAAAATAAGCATGATTGCAAATAAGTAAATAAATAAATAATTAATTACTGTAATTAAATCTACAAGGCAAGAATAATAATGAAATTACCATTGGTTGTATTGGTGGAGACACCTTGGCAGTTGGTGGGTACATACTGCTGGGACGGAGCACTGGCTGGGCACACTTGCCCCATCGGACATGGATCGCATCACATGATCATCACCATGGCAATGAGATGGATTAGAGGGATACAAGATGGGATGGTTGGCTGCTAATGGTGGAAGTGGTGATGGATTGGGTAATCATAGAACATGACTCATTCATAGGCAACCTGTGTAATACAAGGGAAAAGAAGCTCAGTGATATCTCATATTCCTTACATTTTATTCATTCAAAGTCGGATAATCAAATTATTAATAATCAACACATTGACTTCAAAATCTTAAAGAGATTATAGAGAAGGTACTTGGAAAGATAAAGGGGCTACATCGTTGAGAAATGACCCCTGCCCTTTAGCTATTTGAATGCTGGTCTACACCTTTGCTTGTTGCTTATGATTTGTATATTCTCTTGATACTACCATGGAGATATAAGATAGATCTCCATGATACTACTGTACATGCTATAGTGAGTTACTGTGAGTTATCACCTTTATCCTAGAATGTCTTCTTTTATCTAGGACTGAAAAACAGTAAATCAACAAAGTTTATGACTTCACATACTGATATTAGTATACACTAGCAGGACCCGTGGAACATCCACGGGATTCTAGGGGAGGGGGCCAAATAGATAGATTGAGGCCTGTGTGCTATCCAAAAAAAAATTAGATTATCTTTATATAGAGAATTTTTTATAATATATGCTGTTTGACTATGAATGGCGCATCGTAAAACAAACTATGTCAGATAGGATCTCGATAATTACTATTTATTTGCATTATTATTGTTGTGATTTCAATGTAGTTTCATGAAAAGACTACATATGCAGAGGCTTGGATTATGATTATGTTGGCATTGTTCACAAAATGTGTATAATTATTTTCAAAGTAAAGATTTTACGCGAAAATTGGACGGTTTGTGCACAAATTGACTCGACTGTGTGTGGGACTGTGAGTGTAGAATCCAGTGAAAGATTATTTTTTTTCGGGGACTCGATCTATATCAAATTTTGGGAAAATTTTTGGGGGCTACTTTTTTTATCTTTCGGGGGCTCATTTTTCTTGGGCTAATTTTTCATTAATTCATTTAAAGATGCAGTTTGTTTAGTTTAGTAGCGTAGTGTTACGTAAAAAAAGGCGTACTTTCTGCGTCAAGTTTCTACGCCGAAAGTACGCGAATTTTGTTAAACATATTAAATTGTTTGCGTCCATCTTGCGTACTTTTTTGCATCCCTCAGGGTATAGTAACGTAGGCCAGCGTACTCTCAGCTCAGCGTAGTTGGTACGCAACTCTATACTATGGACCCCACGCCAATTAGTGATCGACCTGCCAGTGTCACAAATAAGGCATTAAAAATATGCTCATCTGACCGTAATTAAATGCCTAAAACCCCTGAGCTTTCGGGGGTTCAGCCCTTTGTACCCGTGGACACCACACCTGCACTCAAATCGCTTTGAGTTACCTGACCCCCCCCCCCATACTTTAAAAATTGATTTGATGCAAGAACTGTATCATACTAAAAGTATTATCATGTTTTTAAACGACCATGACGACCGTCTGATTTTCTTGTGAAAAATGATTATCGAAATTCAGTATACAACTATACATGGCCAGAATAATCACAATCCAAGCCCAGGTTTCATACATCTATTCACGAAACTATATTGAAATCGGGGCAATAATAGCAATTGCAAAGTGTAGTTTAGACTCTCCTCACACCCACGGACAGACCTGGCTACTCCGGTCACCGCTACTCCATGCTCACACACTCAGCTCCGACAGCACCGCCGACAGCACCGCCGACAGAGGCGCTCAGCTGCCGTGGCAATACACTGTGGACTCACGGCAGTTTGCAACTGAACTGTCACGTGAAGGCGTACTATCACAGATCTATTTGCGCTATTCTTGTTGTGATTTCGATGTAGTTTTCATGAAAAGACCAATAAAACAGAAGCTTGGACTATGATTATGTTGGCATAGATCACAGAATTTGTATAATTATTTTCAGAGTAAAGATTTTACGTGAAAATAGGTCCATGGTTTGCGCCAGTTGTCGCAATCGCCTCGACTCGAATCGACTGTGGTGTGTGCATGTGTGTGACCTGAGAGCGTGTACACGTACACTGTGGGCGCCTGGCCTAAAAAGCATATCCTATAGAAAGACGCATAACACGGGTAAGCTCAACCCGTTGAGCGTACATATTGGCTACATCCCATCACCCGGGTGAGTCGTCTGTTAATGTGTATTTCTCTTACATGCTACAAAGCGTATCCTATAGCAAGAGGCCTTACTCGGGATATGCCGCAGCCTTTACAATGAGACTTGCTGCACCCGTTGACGCGAGTGGAGTCTCGTCCATCGTGTGTCTCTTCGTCTCTCTTTGATAATTAGACAGAGGGCGGGTGCACGCCTTGCCGACTCGCTCTTGCGGGTTCGTCGCCTCCTCGCAATCCGCGACGCCCGCCGTGCTCTCGTCCGCCCGTCCTCCCCGGCCGCCCCGAAACCGCGTTTAACGGCATGGACGTCGATCGCGGGGTCGACGTGGCACGCGGGTTACGGGAGACAGGCCTCGTGGAATTGTACCGCCCTCCCCGCGCCACGGCGGAGGCGGGCGGGGTCGGGGAAAGACGTTTTTGAGGAACCGTTTTGGCCCGTGTTGGACCCCCCGCGGCGATTTTGCGTATTAGTAATATAGACTAGCAGGACCCGTGGAAAATCCACGGGATTCTAGGGGAGGGGGCCAAATAGATATAGGCCTATGTGCTATCCAAAAAAAAATTAGATTATCTTTATATAGAGAATTTTTATAATATATGCTGTTTGACCATGAATGGCGCATCGTAAAACAAACTATGTCAGATAGGATCTCGATAATTACTATTTATTTGCATTATTATTGTTGTGATTTCAATGTAGTTTCATTAAAAGACTACATATGCAGAGGCTTGGATTATGATTATGTTGGCATTGTTCACAAAATGTGTATAATTATTTTCAAAGTAAAGATTTTACGCGAAAAAATCGGACGGTTTGTGCACAAATTGACTCGCCTGTGTGTGGGACTGTGAGCGTAGAATCCAGTGAAAGATTTTTTTTTTCGGGGACTCGATCTATATCAAATTTTGGGGAAATTTTTGGGGGCTACTTTTTTTTATCTTTCGGGGGCTCATTTTTCTTGGGCTAATTTTTTATTAATTCATTTAAAGATGCAGTTTGTTTAGTTTAGTAGCGTAGTGTTACGTAAAAAAAGGCGTACCTTCTGCGTCAAGTTTCTACGCCGAAAGTACGCGAATTTTGTTAAACATATTAAATTGTTTGCGTCCATCTTGCGTACTTTTTTGCGTCCCTCAAGGTGTAGTAACGTAGGCCAGCGTACTCTCAGCTCAGCGTAGTTGGTACGCAACTCTACTATGGACCCCACGCCAATTAGTGATCGACCTGCCAGTGTCACAAATAAGGCATTAAAAATATGCTCATCTGACCGTAATTAAATGCCTAAAACCCCTGAGCTTTCGGGGGTTCAGCCCTTTGTACCCGTGGACACCACGCCTGCACTCAAATCGCTTTGAGTTACCTGACCCCCCCCCCCTCCCCCCCATACTTTAAAAATTGATTTGATGCAAGAACTGTATCATACTAAAAGTATTATCATGTTTTTAAACGACCTTGACGACCGTCTGATTTTCTTGTGAAAACTTGTGAAACTATACATGGCCAGAATAATCACAATCCAAGCCCAGGTTTCATACATCTATTCACGAAACTATATTGAAATCGGGGCAATAATAGCAATTTCAAAGTGTTGTTGAGACTCTCCTCACACCACGGACAGACCTGGCTACTCCGGTCACCGCTACTCCATGCTCACCACTCCGACAGCACCGCCGACAGCAGCGCTCAGCTGCGGTGGCAATACACTGTGGACTCAAGGCAGTTTGCAACTGAACTGTCACGTGAAGGCGTACTATCACAGATCTATTTGCGCTATTCTTGTTGTGATTTCGATGTAGTTTTCATGAAAAGACCAATAAAACAGAAGCTTGGACTATGATTAAGTTGGCATAGATCACAGAATTTGTATAATTATTTTCAGAGTAAAGATTTTACGTGAAAATAGGTCCATGATTTGCGCCAGTTGTCGCAATCGCCTCGACTCGAATCGACTGTGGTGTGTGCATGTGTGTGACCTGAGAGCGTGTAATACACGTACACTGGGCGCCTGGCCTACAAAGCATATCCTATAGAAAGACGCATAACACGGGTACGCTCAACCCGTTGAGCGTACATATTAGCTACATCCCATCATCTGAGTGAGTCATCTGTTAATGTGTATTTCTCTTACATGCTACAAAGCGTATCCTATAGCAAGAGGTCTAATTCGGGGTACGCCGCACACCCGTTACAATAGGATTTGCTACACCCGTTGACGCGAGTTGATTCGCCTCCATCGTGTGTCTCTTTGTCTCTCTTTGATTAGACATGCAGAGGGCGGGTGCACGCCTTGCCGACTCGCTCTCGCAGGTTCGTCGCCTACTTGCAATCCACGACGCCCGCCGTGCTCTCGTCCGCCCGTCCTCCCCGGCACCCCGAAACCGCGTTTAACGGCGTGGACGTCGATCGCGGGGTCGACGTGGCACGCGGGTCACGGGAGACAGGCCTCGTGGAATTTTGCCGCCCTCCCCGCGCCACGGCGGAGGCGGGCGGGGTCGGGGAAAGACGTTTTTGAGGAACCGTTTTGCCCCGTGTTGGACCCCCCGCGGCGATTAGTGGTATTAGTAATATAGACTAGCAGGACCCGTGGAAAATCCACGGGATTCTAGGGGAGGGGGCCAAATAGATAGATAGAGGCCTATGTGCTATCCAAAAAAAATTAGATTATCTTTATATAGAGAATTTTTATAATATATGCTGTTTGACCATGAATGGCGCATCGTAAAACAAACTTTGTCAGATAGGATCTCGAAAATTACGATTAATTTGCATTATTATTGTTGTGATTTCAATGTAGTTTCATGAAAAGACTATGCAGAGGCTTGGATTATGATTTTGTTGTTCATAAAATGTGTATAATTATTTTCAAAGTAAAGATTTTACGCGAAAAATCGGACGGTTTGTGCACAAATTGACTCGACTGTGTGTGGGACTGTGAGCGTAGAATCCAGTGAAAGATTT